ACCTCCAGCAGTGATGGAGGGTGAGGGAGACACACACAACATACCTCCAGCAGTGATGGAGGGTGAGGGAGACACACACAACATACCTCCAGCAGTGATGGAGGGTGAGGGAGACACAAAACATACCTCCAGCAGTGATGGAGGGTGAGGGAGACACACACAACATACCTCCAGCAGTGATGGAGGGGAGGGAGACACACAACATACCTCCAGCAGTGATGGAGGGTGAGGGAGACACACACAACATACCTCCAGCAGTGATGGAGGGTGAGGGAGACACCCCAACATACCTCCAGCAGTGATGGAGGGTGAGGGAGACACACAACATACCTCCAGCAGTGATGGAGGGTGAGGGAGACACAACAACATACCTCCAGCAGTGATGGAGGGTGAGGGAGACACACACAACATACCTCCAGCAGTGATGGAGGGTGAGGGAGACACACACAACATACCTCCAGCAGTGATGGAGGGTGAGGGAGACACACAACATACCTCCAGCAGTGATGGAGGGTGAGGGAGACACACAAACATACCTCCAGCAGTGATGGAGGGTGAGGGAAAACCACACAACATACCTCCAGCAGTGATGGAGGTGAGGGAGACACACAACATACCTCCAGCAGTGATGGAGGGTGAGGGAGACACACACAACATACCTCCAGCAGTGATGGAGGGTGAGGGAGACACACACAACATACCTCCAGCAGTGATGGAGGGTGAGGGAGACACACAACATACCTCCAGCATTTGATGGAGGGTGGGGGAGACACACAACATACCTCCAGCAGTGATGGAGGGTGAGGGAGACACACAAACATACCTCCAGCAGTGATGGAGGGTGAGGGAGACCCCACAACATACCTCCAGCAGTGATGGAGGTGAGGAGACACACAAACATACCTCCAGCAGTGATGGAGGGTGAGGGAGACACACACAACATACCTCCAGCAGTGATGGAGGGTGAGGGAGACACACAACATACCTCCAGCAGTGATGGAGGGTGAGGGAGACACACAACATACCTCCAGCAGTGATGGAGGGTGAGGGAGACACACAACATACCTCCAGCAGTGATGGTGGGTGAGGGAGACACACAACATACCTCCAGCAGTGATGGAGGGTGAGGGAGACACACACAACATACCTCCAGCAGTGATGGAGGGTGAGGGAGACACACAACATACCTCCAGCAGTGATGGAGGGTGAGGGAGACACACAACATACCTCCAGCAGTGATGGATGGTGAGGGAGACACACAACATACCTCCAGCAGTGATGGAGGGTGAGGGAGACACACAACATACCTCCAGCAGTGATGGGGGGTGAGGGAGACACAACAACATACTCCAGCAGTGATGGAGGGTGAGGGAGACACCCCACAACATACCTCCAGCAGTGATGGAGGGTGAGGGAGACACACAACATACCTCCAGCAGTGATGGAGGGTGAGGGAGACACACAACATACCTCCAGCAGTGATGGAGGGTGAGGGAGACACACAACATACCTCCAGCAGTGATGGAGGGTGAGGGAGAACACACACAACATACCTCCAGCAGTGATGGAGGTGAGGGAGACACACAACATACCTCCAGCAGTGATGGAGGGTGAGGGAGACACACAACATACCTCCAGCAGTGATGGAGGGTGAGGGAGACACACAACATACCTCCAGCAGTGATGGAGGGTGAGGGAGACACACAACATACCTCCAGCAGTGACGGAGGGTGAGGGAGACACACAAACATACCTCCAGCAGTGACGGAGGGTGATGGGAGACACACAACATACCTCCAGCAGTGATGGAGGGTGAGGGAGACACACAACATACCTCCAGCAGTGATGGAGGGTGAGGGAGACACACAACATACCTCCAGCAGTGATGGAGGGTGAGGGAGACACACAACATACCTCCAGCAGTGATGGAGGTGAGGGAGACACACAACATACCTCCAGCAGTGATGGGGGGTGAGGGAGACACACAACATACCTCCAGCAGTGATGGAGGTGAGGGAGACACACAACATACCTCCAGCAAGTGATGGATGGTGAGGGAGACACACAACATACCTCCAGCAGTGATGGAGGGTGAGGGAGACACACAACATACCTCCAGCAGTGATGGAGGGTGAGGGAGACACACAACATACCTCCAGCAGTGATGGAGGGTGAGGGAGACACACACAACATACCTCCAGCAGTGATGGAGGGTGAGGGAGACACACAACATACCTCCAGCAGTGATGGAGGGTGAGGGAGACACACACAACATACCTCCAGCAGTGATGGAGGGTGAGGGAGACACACAAACATACCTCCAGCAGTGATGGGGGGTGAGGGAGAACACACAACATACCTCCAGCAGTGATGGAGGGTGAGGGAGACACACAACATACCTCCAGCAGTGATGGAGGGTGAGGGAGACACACAAACATACCTCCAGCAGTGATGGAGGGTGAGGGAGACAACAACATTACCTCCAGCAGTATGGAGGGTGAGGGAGACACACAACATACCTCCAGCAGTGATGGAGGGTGAGGGAGACACACAACATACCTCCAGCAGTGATGGGGGTGAGGGAGACACACAACATACCCTCCAGCAGTGATGGAGGGTGAGGGAGACACACAACATACCTCCAGCAGTGATGGAGGGTGAGGGAGACACACACAATACCTCCAGCAGTGATGGAGGGTGAGGGAGACACACAACATACCTCCAGCAGTGATGGAGGGTGAGGGAAAACACACAACATACCTCCAGCAGTGATGGATGGTGAGGGAGACACACAAACATCCTCCAGCAGTGATGGGGGGTGAGGGAGACACACAACTTTACCTCCAGCAGTGATGGAGGGTGAGGGAGACACACACAACATACCTCCAGCAGTGATGGAGGGTGAGGGAGACACACACAACATACCTCCAGCAGTGATGGAGGGTGAGGGAGACACACACAACATACCTCCAGCAGTGATGGAGGGTGAGGGAGACACACACAACATACCTCCAGCAGTGATGGAGGGTGAGGGAGACACACACAACATACCTCCAGCAGTGATGGAGGGTGAGGGAGACACACACAACATACCTCCAGCAGTGATGGAGGGTGAGGGAGACACACACAAACATACCTCCAGCAGTGATGGAGGGTGAGGGAGACACACACAACATACCTCCAGCAGTCATGGAGGGTGAGGGAGACACACACAACATACCTCCAGCAGTGATGGAGGGTGAGGGAGACACACACAACATACCTCCAGCAGTGATGGAGGGTGAGGGAGACACACACAACATACCTCCAGCAGTGATGGAGGGTGAGGGAGACACACACAACATACCTCCAGCAGTGATGGAGGGTGAGGGAGACACACAACATACCTCCAGCAGTGATGCAGGGTGAGGGAGACACACAACATACCTCCACAGTGATGGAGGTGAGGGAGACACACACAACATACCTCCTGCAGTGATGGAGGGTGAGGGAGACACACACAACATACCTCCAGCAGTGATGGAGGGTGAGGGAGACACACAACATACCTCCAGCAGTGATGGAGGGTGAGGGAAAACACACACAACATACCTCCAGCAGTGATGGAGGGTGAGGGAGACACACAACATACCTCCACCAGTGATGGAGGGTGAGGGAGACACACACAACATACCTCCAGCAGTGATGGAGGGTGAGGGAGACACACACAAATACCTCCAGCAGTGATGGAGGGTGAGGGAGACACACACAACATACCTCCAGCAGTGATGGAGGGTGAGGGAGACACACACAACATACCTCCAGCAGTGATGGAGGGTGAGGGAGACACACAACATACCTCCAGCAGTGATGGAGGGTGAGGGAGACACACACAACATACCTCCAGCAGTGATGGAGGGTGAGGGAGACCCCACACAACATACCTCCAGCAGTGATGGAGGGTGAGGGAGACACACACAACATACCTCCAGCAGTGATGGAGGGTGAGGGAGACACACACAACATACCTCCAGCAGTGATGGAGGGTGAGGGAGACACACAACATACCTCCAGCAGTGATGGAGGGTGAGGGAGACACACACAACATACCTCCAGCAGTGATGGAGGGTGAGGGAGACACACACAACATACCTCCAGCAGTGATGGAGGGTGAGGGAGACACACACAACATACCTCCAGCAGTGATGGAGGATGAGGGAGACACACACAACATACCTCCAGCAGTGATGGGATGAGGGAGACACACACAACATACCTCCACCAGTGATGGAGGGTGAGGGAGACACACAACATACCTCCAGCAGTGATGGAGGGTGAGGGAGACACACAACATACCTCCAGCAGTGATGGAGGGTGAGGGAGACACACACAACATACCTCCAGCAGTGATGGAGGGTGAGGGAGACACACAACATACCTCCACCAGTGATGGAGGGTGAGGGAGACACACACAACATACCTCCAGCAGTGATGGAGGGGGGAGGGAGACACACACAACATACCTCCAGCAGTGATGCAGGGTGAGGGAGACACACACAACATCCCTCCACCAGTGATGGAGGGTGAGGGAGACACACAACATACCTCCACCAGTGATGGAGGGTGAGGGAGACACACACAACATACCTCCACCAGTGATGGATGGTGAGGGAGACATACACAACATACCTCCACCAGTGATGGAGGGTGAGGGAGACACACACAACATACCTCCAGCAGTGATGGAGGGTGAGGGAGACACACACAACATACCTCCACCAGTGATGGAGGGTGAGGGAGACACACACAACATACCTCCAGCAGTGATGGAGGGTGAGGGAGACACACACAACATACCTCCATCAGTGATGGAGGGTGAGGGAGACATACAACATACCTCCACCAGTGATGGAGGGTGAGGGAGACACACAACATACCTCCACCAGTGATGGAGGGTGAGGGAGACACACACAACATACCTCCATCAGTGATGAAGGGTGAGGGAGACACACACAACATACCTCCACCAGTGATGGAAATCTCCAAGGCATCGACAGAGGTGCAGTGTTGGAGGTCCTCAGCTTGTTGGATGTTCCTGAGGGAGGCGGTGACGTTGCAGGGCCCCACACAACCTGAAGGACACCAGGAGGCTGCACTTGATCTAAAACGATACAGACTGTTTCAAAATGACGGACCCAATTTAGATATATACTGCTTTGAAATTGGGTACATCTCTTTCAAGCACTCTGTAAAAACCTTGGTAATAGATACCAACACATTGATTTAGAAAAAAAAACAGGTAAACAAACACTAGAACGTATTAGAAAACGTTTCGCTCCTGGAACTTTGATCACTTCTAAAAGTGAAGATTAAGGCACATGTGCAATAGTTGGGTATTATTATTGATAAAACGTTTCGCCTACACGGTTTCTTCAATCAAATACAGAGGTAGCAGGTGTAGTGGTGAAATGAAGTAATCGGTCCATCAGCCTTGGAGAAAAGGCATTTGAGGTGGTCAGTCCCTGGCAAGGGGTTCAACTGAACTTGTTACCAGGAAACCTTATCATGGTTAGATTAGGTTAGGTAAAGTTCGTCAGGATACAGGACAAGTATTTCCTGACTCGGTTTTAGTCAACTGATGAGCCGTCGTTGGAGCTTTTGGTCATCTGACCGAGGCCTTCCGCTGGCTTACCAGTCCACCAATTAAAAACAATGGCCATACTTATAGCCATTTCTATTAAATCATAGTTATGCAGCTGAGACACAACTTACCCAACATTCTCCACCTGACTCTCTACACTGTGTGGGCGAAACGTTGTCAATAAAGGATCATATAGAGAATTTATCTATTTTTCCACATGTGAAGCACCTATCTGTATCCTGAAGACTGAGGGACTCCTTACATAATAGTGGAGGAGCACTGCAACAGGCCTACTGACCCATGCTAGGCAGTCCTTCTCTAAACCGTTTTCACCCACTGATCCAACATTCCCCCCAAAACTACCCAAGAATCTGCTTCAGTACTTCCCGTTTTACTCCCCCCAGTTCCAATACCTTCCAGTAACCTCTGTGTTTAAAGTGTTAAATGAACTGGTGGGTGAAACGTGTCCAGAACACATCCCAGGTGTTGCACATGTGTCTTATACATCCGGCCAATAATGGCGGACCTCTTGCAAATTGAGAATAAATTTTTAGTAATGCAGAAAATAAAAATATCTTTCACTCGTAATACTGATTTCATTACACAATTTAGGGAACAAAAGATTCTTTTGAGTCAGGTCATGTTCAGAGTGAAGAGTTTGTGTTATGTGGCTGTGATGGTGTCAAGGATGATGGTGTGCTGTCACTGTACTCCTGGGCTGGAGTGTTCCTTGACGAATGGAAACATAAACACATATGCAGTTTAATGTGATCCTTTATTGACAACGTTTCGCCCACACAGTGGGCTTTTTCAAGTCATACACAGATCTACCTGGGGTGGAAGGTACGGGAGTATTTATAGTCAGATTCAGAATGTTGAGGTCTATAAATACTCCCGTACCTTCCACACCAGGTAGATCTGTGTATGACTTGAAAAAGCCCACTGTGTGGGCGAAACGTTGTCAATAAAGGATCACATTAAACTGCATATGTGTATGTTTCCAGTGTGTCGGTATTTTATACCATTTTCACCTTGACGAATGTTCTGCTGGTATACCTGGAGTATACCTAGAGAGGGTTTCGGGGGTCAACGCCCCCGCCGCTCGGTTTGAGACCAGGTCTCATGGTGTATCAGGGTCTGATCAACCAGGCTGTTACTGCTAGCCGCAAGAAAACTGACGTACGAACCACAGTCCGGCTGGTCAGGTACTGACTTGGGTGCCTGTCTAGTGCCTTCTTGAAGACAGCCAGGGGTCTATTGGTAATCCCCATCATGTATGCTGGGAGGCAGTTGAACAGTGGTCCTTATATATATACAGTAGTGTGCAAATTAATTGGGTCAAGAGTAATTTTTTTGATTATTTCATACGTCTCAGTTTCCGGCTTAATTAATATAGTTTTGGTTCTTTTTTTTTCATAAGAGTTTGCTACTGACTTCTGGCAGCCATCCAGCTGTGGTGTTACCCTGCGACTCTCGTCAGTGCTACAACAGCTGTTGTTCTGTATAGCTACTCTGCAAGCGTGCTTCGTCAGTGAATGTGGTTTCACCAAATCCTTTCCTTCAGTTTATGATTACTGCTGAAATTCATGACGGATGTTGCACTTAGGAAGTGTGCAAGTATTGTGGCTCTTAGAACAAAAAAGCTGATTTGCGTATCAGACAGATCACCGAAAATTTGGCCTAGCAAAGTCAACTGTTGGTGGGATTCTGAAGAGAACTGACGACACTGGTGATTGTGGAGCGCTGCGTCGAGGAACATGCGGAAGAAAACGCAAGACAACACCAAGAGAACAAGGTTATAAGCAATAGTGAAGGATACCAAGAAAATCAGCAAAGATCTACGACATATTTGTCTTCAGCTGCGACTGACATTCTCGAATCTGAAATGACAGTTTTCAAAGCACATTACCCTCTTAGCAATTATTGGCTTCGTGTCTCCAAATGCGAAGGTTTGTCGCTCCTCATCATTATGCAGTACAAAATAAACCTCTCTGGAACAATTAAAGTTTCCGGAGAGCAGTGAAATTTGTCGGGGTTGTCGAATGTGGGCGGAAGCTCGTGGGCAAATTTTGGCATGGGGGGGAGGGGGAATGATGGGAGGCTCAGAAAGGGGTCAACTGATCTTGACAAGTCACATAAGGTCAACTCACCTTGACAGGTCACACAAGGTCAACTCACCTTGACAGGTCACACAAGGTCAACTCACCTTGACAGGTCACACAAGGTCAACTCACCTTGACAGGTCACACAGGAAGGTCATCTCACCTTCAGAGATCACATAACAAGGTCAACTTACCTTGATAGGTCACACAGGAAGGTCAACTCACCTTGACAGGTCACATAAGGTCAACTCACCTTGATAGGTAACATAAGATCAACTCACCTTGACAGTCACAAAAGGTCAATTCACCTTGACAGGTCACACAGGAAGGTCAACTTACCTTGACAGGTCACACATGAAGGTCAACTTACCTTGACAGGTCACACATGAAGGTCAACTTACCTTTACAGGTTACATAAGGTCAACTCACCTTGACAGGTCACACAAGGTCAACTCACCTTGACAGGTCACACAGGAAGGTCAGCTTACCTTGACAGGTCACATAGGAAGGTCTTTTTACCTTGACAGGTCACATAAGGTCAACTCGCCTTGACAAGTCACATAAGAACTCACCCTGACAGGTCACACAAGGTCAACTCACCTTGACAGGTCACACAGGAAGGACAGCTCACCTTGACAGGTCACAAAGAAAAGTCCGCTCACCTTGACAGGTCACGCAGGAAGTTTACCTAACCTTAACAGGTCACACAGAAAGGTCAACCCACCTTCACAGGTCACACAGGAAGGTCAGCTTATCTTGACAGTCACATAGGTCAACTTACCTTGACAGGTCACATAGGAAGGTCATCTTACCTTGACAGGTCACGCAGAAATGTCAACTCACCTCGACAGGTCACACAGAAATGTCAACTTACCTTGACAGGTCACACGGGGAGGTCAGCTTACCTTGACAGGGGTCACAGATGGTGTTGCTGGGTGTACGCTGGATCAGGCATGACCGAGAACACTCAACACGGGTTCGAATCCTGGCACTCTCAGCTCGGCACTCCTCCAGGCTCACACACCTGTCACCCACCTGCAGGCAACACACCTGTCACCCACCTGCAGGCAACACATCTGTCACCCACTTGTTGACAACACACACACACCACCCACCTACAGGGCAACACACACCTGCCATCCACTTACAGGCAACACACACACCTGTCACACCTGCAGGCAACACACACACACGTCACCCACCTGCCCGCAACACACACCTGTCACCCACCTGTAGGCAACACACACACCTGTTACCCACCTGCAGACAACACATACACACCTGTCACCCAACTGCAGGCAAGACACACACATACACACCTGTCAACCACCTTCATGCAACACACACACACACACACAAACACACACACACACACACCTGTCACCCACCTGCCCGCAGCACACAACTGTCACCCACTTACAGGCAACACACACACACCTGTCATCCACCTGCATGCAACACACACCTGTCACACACCTGCAGGGAACACACACACACACACGTCACCCACCTGCCCACGACACATACACCTGTCACCCACCTGTAGGCAACACACACACCTGTTACCCACCTGCAGACAACACATACACACCTGTCACCCAACTGCAGGCAAGACACACACACACACCTGTCAACCACCTTCATGCAACATAACACACACCTGTCACCCACTTACAGGCAACTCACATACATGTCACCCACCTAGAGACAAGACACACACACCTGTCACCCACCTGCCCGCAGCACACAAACTGTCACCCACCTGCAGGCAACACACGCACACACACACCTGTCATCCACCTGCATGCAACACACACACATACCTATCACCCACCTGCAGGCAACCCCACCACCGCCGCAGCACACACCACACCGCCGCAGCACCACACACCCTGTCACCCACTTTCCCGCAACACCACACACACCTGGGCACCCACCTGCCCACAAAACACACCTGCCCACAACACACACACACCTGTCACTCACCTGCTCGCAACACATACACCTGTCACCCACCTGCAGGCAACACACACACCTGTCACCCACCTGCAGGCAACACACACACACCTGTCATCCACCTGCAGGCAACACACACACCTGTCATCCACCTGCAGGCAACACACACACCTGTCATCCACCTGCAGGCAACACACACACCTGTCATCCACCTGCAGGCAACACACACACCTGTCATCCACCTGCAGGCAACACACACACTGTCATCCACCTGCAGGCAACACACACACCTGTCATCCACCTGCAGGCAACACACACACCTGTCATCCACCTGCAGGCAACACACACACCTGTCATCCACCTGCAGGCAACACACACACCTGTCATCCACCTGCAGGCAACACACCTCACACCTGTCATCCACCTGCAGGCAACACACCTCACACACCTGTTATCCCTTTAACTGTAGCGGGGAGCGTCGCTCCCCCTCAAAATTTAACACGTTTACTAAATAGCCAGCAAACACCTGTTAACTGAGGTTCCTACTTATCAAACACCTGCTAACATCTGTTGGCGACACTTAATTATCAATTAAATACATGAATTTTTCTTTTTCATTTATTTTTCTAATTTTAATTAGAAATGTTTTCAAAAGAAATAGTTTATTTATTATTATTTTTTATTATTAATTATTAATTATTATTATTATATTATTATTATTATTATTATTATTATTATAGAATTTTGTGATATAATAACAGTAAAAATAATAAAAAGAACAATTGTAATTTGATAATAAATAATAAGCAATATTAAAATAATAATAATAATAATAATAATAATAATAATAATAATCACAATAATAATAAATAAGCTATATATTTATAATAATAATACCAAATATTTATAATAATTATAAGTATTTAACGAGGCAGGTCAACACAGGTTACTCTTCTAATTTGTCCTGATTTTCCTAATTTATTTCTAGTTAATTATCAGTCAGTCAGAACTGTGACTACAAGTTATGTTGTTAGTGTTGTTAGTGTTGTTAGTGTTGTTAGTGTTGTTGTTAGTGTTGTTAGTGTGGTTGTTAGTGTTGTTAGTGTTGTTGTTAGTGTTGTTGTTAGTGTTGTTAGTGTTGTTGTTAGTGTTAGTGTGGTTGTTAGTGTTGTTAGTGTGGTTGTTAGTGTGGTTGTTAGTGTGGTTGTTAGTGTTAGTGTGGTTGTTAGTGTTGTTAGTGTGGTTGTTAGTGTGGTTGTTAGTGTTGTTAGTGTGGTTGTTAGTGTTAGTGTGGTTGTTAGTGTTGTTAGTGTGGTTGTTAGTGTTAGTGTGGTTGTTAGTGTTGTTAGTGTGGTTGTTAGTGTCGTTAGTGTGGTTGTTAGTGTGGTTGTTAGTGTTGTTAGTGTGGTTGTTAGTGTTAGTGTGGTTGTTAGTGTTGTTAGTGTGGTTGTTTGTGTTAGTGTGGTTGTTAGTGCTGTTAGTGTGGTTGTTAGTGTTAGTGTGGTTGTTAGTGTTGTTAGTGTGGTTGTTAGTGTCAGTTAGTGTGGTTGTTAGTGTTGTTGTTTGGTTGTTAGTGTTGTTAGTGTGGTTGTTATGTTAGTGTGTTGTTAGTGTGGTTGTTAGTGTTAGTGTGGTTGTTAGTGTGGTTGTTAGTGTTGTTAGTGTGGTTGTTAGTGCTGTTAGTGTGGTTGTTAGTGTTAGTGTGGTTGTTAGTGTTGTTAGTGTGGTTGTTAGTGTTGTTAGTGTGGTTGTTAGTGTTGTTGTGTGGTTGTTAGTGTTGTTAGTGTGGTTGTTAGTGTTGTTAGTGTGGTTGTTAGTGTTGTTAGTGTGGTTGTTAGTGTTGTTAGTGTGGTTGTTAGTGCTGTTAGTGTGGTTGTTAGTGTTAGTGTGGTTGTTAGTGTTGTTAGTGTGGTTGTTAGTGTGGTTTTTAGTGTTAGTGTGGTTGTTAGTGTGGTTGTTAGTGTTAGTGTGGTTGTTAGTGTTGTTAGTGTGGTTGTTAGTGTTGTTTAGTGTGGTTGTTAGTGTTGTGTGGTTGTTAGTGTTGTTAGTGTGGTTGTTAGTGTTGTTGTTAGTGTTGTTAGTGTGGTTGTTAGTGTGGTTAGTGCTGTTAGTGTGGTTGTTAGTGTTGTTAGTGGTCGTTGTTAGTGTTGTTAGTGTGGTTGTTAGTGTTGTTGTGTGGTTGTTAGTGTTGTTAGTGTGGTTGTTAGTGTTATTTGTGGTTGTTAGTGTTAGGTGTGGTTGTTAGTGTTGTTAGTGTGGTTGTTAGTGTTGTTTAGTGTGGTTGTTAGTGTTGTTAGTGTGGTTGTTAGTGTGTTAGTGTGGTTGTTAGTGTTGTTAGTGTGGTTGTTAGTGTTGTTAGTGTGGTTGTTAGTGCTGTTTAGTGTGGTTGTTAGTGTTAGTGTGGTTGTTTAGTTGTTAGTGTGGTTGTTAGTGTTAGTGTGGTTGTTAGTGTTGTTAGTGTGGTTTTGTTAGTGTTGTTAGTGTGGTTGTTAGTGTTGTTAGTGTGGTTGTTAGTGTGGTTGTTAGTGTTGTTAGTGTGGTTGTTAGTGTTGTTGGTGTGGTTGTTAGTGTGTTAGTGTGGTTAGTGTTGTTAGTGTTTAGTGTGGTTGTTAGTGTTGTTAGTGGGTTGTTAGTGTTAGTGTGGTTGTTAGTGTTGTTAGTGTGGTTGTTAGTGTGGTTATTGTTAGTAGTGTGGTTGTTAGTGTTGTTAGTGTGGTTGTTAGTGTTGTTAGTGTGGTTGTTAGTGTTGTTAGTGTGGTTGTTAGTGTTTGTTAGTGTGGTTGTTAGTGTTAGTGTGGTTGTTAGTGTTGTTTGTGTGGTTATTAGTGTTTGTTTAGTGTGGTTGTTAGTGTTAGTGTGGTTAGTGTGGTTGTTAGTGTTGTTAGTGTGGTTGTTAGTGTGGTTGTTAGTGCTCTTAGTGTGGTTGTTAGTGTTGTTAGTGTGGTTGTTAGTGTTGTTAGTGTGGTTGTTAGTGTTGTTAGTATGGTTGTTAGTGTGGTTGTTAGTGTTGTTAGTATGGTTGTTAGTGTTGTTAGTGTGGTTGTTAGTGTATTGTCAACACTGGTGTCAGCATAACTAGTGCCAGCGTGACTGTCATAACTACTGTCACTTTCACTGCTGTCAGCACCACAGCTGTCAGCATCAAAGCTGTCAGCACCACAGCTGTCAGCATCAAAGCTGTCAGCACCACAGCTGTCAGCACCACAGCTGTCAGCATCACAGCTGTCAGCATCAAAGCTGTCAGCACCACAGCTGTCAGCACCACAGCTGTCAGCATCACAGCTGTCAGCATCAAAGCTGTCAGCACCACAGCTGTCAGCATCAAAGCTGTCAGCACCACAGCTGTCAGCACCACAGCTGTCAGCATCAAAGCTGTCAGCATCACAGCTGTCAGCATCAAAGCTGTCAGCATCACAGCTGTCAGCATCAAAGCTGTCAGCATCACAGCTTTCAGCATCACAGCTGTCAGCACCACAGCTGTCAGCATCAAAGCTGTCAGCACCACAGCTTTCAGCATCAAAGCTGTCAGCACCACAGCTGTCAGCATCAAAGCTGTCAGCACCACAGCTGTCAGCATCAAAGCTGTCAGCACCACAGCTGTCAGCACCACAGCTGTCAGCATCACAGCTGTCAGCACCACAGCTGTCAGCATCAAAGCTGTCAGCACCACAGCTGTCAGCATCAAAGCTGTCAGCACCACAGCTTTCAGCATCAAAGCTGTCAGCACCACAGCTGTCAGCACAAAGCTGTCAGCACCACAGCTGTCAGCACCACAGCTGTCAGCATCAAAGCTGTCAGCAAGTGCTTCCTATCAGCACTTCATGCAGAAACTCATAATAAATCAAAGTTTTTTTGCATGAATGTTTCGTTCAGTGTGTCTGTCACTCCGCGTCATCATTTTATACATCTCAGCAATATATTTGCTCTTAGTGTAAAAAATATTGAAAATTCTGTCTATCTAATTCTGGATATAGTGTGGATGTTTTGTAGAAACGTGTGGTTAGGCTAGGTGTTAGTAGCTGGTAGTGCTAGGTGGTAGTACTGTGGTAGTACTGGTGGTAGTAGAGGTGTTGTGTAGTATGGTAGTACTGGTCGGTAGGAAGTGGTTGTAGTAAGTGGTAGTACTCGGTGGTAGTAATGGTAGTAGTAGTGTGTAGTACTGGTGAGAAGTAGTGGTGTATGGTAGTAGTGGTAGTACTGGTGGTAGTAGTGGTAGTACTGGTAGTAGTAGTGGTAGTTGTAGTATTGGTAGTTCTGGTGATAGTATTGGTAATTAGTATGGTAGTTGTAGTATGGTAGTACTGGTGTATGTATGGTAGTATGGTAGTTAGTTAGTGGTAGTATGTGTAATGGTAGTAGTAGTGTGTTGTACTGGTGATAGTAGTGGTAGTAATGGTAGTAGTAGTAGGTAGTTGATAGTAGTTGGTAGTAGTTGGTTAGTATGGTGGTATGTAGTTGGTAGTGAGTAGTAGTGTAGTAGTGGTATAGTAGTGGTGGTAGTATGGTAGTAGTAGTGGTAGTGTGTAGTAGTGGTAGTAGTAGTGGTAGTATAGTGGTTAGTTGTAGTAGTGTGTAGTGGTAGTATTGGTAGTTAGTAGTGGTAGTATAGTGGTAGTAGTAGGTGGTAGTAGTAGTGGTAGTATGTGAGTTACTTATGTGTGGTAGTGTAGTGGTATGTAGTAGTGGTAGGTAGTAGTGGTAGTATAGTGGTAGTATGGTGGTAGTAGTGGTAGTATGGTAGTTGTAGTAGTGGTAGTAGTGTGGTAGTACTGGTGGGTTGGGGTAGTATGGTGTAGTAGTGGTAGTTGTAGTAGTGGTTAGTTATGGTGAGTATGGTGGTAGTATGGTAGGTAGTAGTGGTGAGTTAGTTGGTAGTATGGTAGTAGTGGTAGTAATGGTAGTAGTGGTAGTTGTGTATGGTAGTACTGGTGGTAGTAGTGGTATGTAATGGTAGTAGTAGTGGTTAGTAGTGGTAGTAATGGTAGTAGTAGTGGTAGTAGTGTGTAGTGGTAGTAAGTGGTAGTAGTAGTGATAGTGGTAGTTGAGTAGTGGTAGTATGGTAGTAGTAGTGGTAGTAGTAGTTAGTGGTAGTAGTAGTGTAGTATGTAGTAGTGGTATAGTAGTAGTGTAGTGGTATAGTAGTGGTAGTAGAGTGGTAGTAGTGGGTATGTAAGTAGTGTAGTACGGTGTAGTAGTGGTAGTAATGTAGTAGTATGTAGTAGTAGTGCGGTAGTTAGTAGTGTAGTAGTAGTTAGTAGTTGGTCGAGTAGTAGCAGTAGTAGTAGGTAGTATAGTAGTAGGTAGTGATGAGTGTAATAGTAAGTGTGTTAGTGTGTAGTAGTGTAGTATAGTGGTGTGTAGTAGTAGAGTAGTTATGTAGTAGTGGTTAGTACGTGTATGTGGTAGTAGTAGGGTAGTATAGTGGTGATGTAAGTTAGTAGTGGGTAGTATGCAGTAGTGGTAGTAGTAGTAGTACATAGTGGTAGTAGTAACAATGGTAGTATAGTGCGTATTGTATGTAGTATAGTGAGAGTAGTATAGTAGTAGTAACAGTAGTGATAGTGGTGATAGTAACAGTAGTAATAGTGGTGATAGTAACAGTAGTAATAGTGGTGATAGTAACAGTAGTAATAGTGGTGATAGTAACAGTAGTAATAGTGGTGATAGTAACAGTAGTAATAGTGGTGATAGTAACAGTAGTAATAGTGGTGTTACGTAGTAATCAGTGTGGTGATAGTAACAGTAGTAATAGTGGTGATAGTAACAGTAGTGGTGATAGTAACAGTAGTAATAGTGGTGATAGTAACAGTAGTAATGGTGGTAGTAACAGTAGTAATAGTGGTGATAGTAACAGTAGTGGTGATAGTAACAGTAGTAATAGTGGTGATAGTAACAGTAGTATAGAAGATGATAGTAACAGTAGTAATAGTGGTGATAGTAACAGTAGTAATAGTGGGATGTAATAGTGGTGATAGTAACAGTAGTAATAGTGGTGATAGTAACAGTAGTGGTGATAATAGCAGTAGTAATAGTGGTGATAGTAACAGTAGTAATAGTGGTGATAGTAACAGTAGTAATAGTGGTGATAGTAACAGTAGTATAGTGGTGCTAGTAACTGTAGTGGTGATAGTATACAGTAGTAATAGTGGTGATAGTAACAGTAGTAATAGTGGTGGTAGTAACAGTAGTAATAGTGGTGATAGTAACGGTAGTGGTGATAGTAACAGTAGTAATAGTGGTGATAGTAACAGTAGTGGTGATAGTAACAGTAGTGGTGATAGTAACAGTAGTGGTGATAGTAACAGTAGTAATAATGGTGATAGTAACAGTAGTGATATTGGTAGTCATTTCAGACGCCCTGTCTCTGTGCTAAGTCATATATCCATCACAGTCATCTATCACTGCTGTCCCCCTGTCTATCACTGCTGTCCCTCTATCATTGATGTCCCTCTATCACTGCTGTCCCTCTATCACTGCTGTCCCCCTGTCTATCACTGCTGTCCCTCTATCATTGATGTACCTCTATCACTGCTGTCCCTCTATCACTGCTGTCCCCCTGTCTATCACTGCTGTCCCCCTGTCTATCACTGCTGTCCCTCTATCATTGATGTCCCTCTATCACTGCTGTCCCTCTATCACTGCTGTCCCCCTGTCTATCACTGCTGTCCCCCTGTCTATCACTGTTGTCCCCCTGGTTATCACTGCTGTCGCTCTATCACTGCTGTCCTCTATCACTGCTGTCCTCCCTCTATCACTGCTGTCCCTCTATCATTGCTGTCCCCCTGTCTATCAATGCTGTCCTCTCTATCACTGCTGTCCCTCTATCACTTCTGTCCCTCTATCACTGCTGTCCCCCTGTCTATCACTGCTGTCTCCCTGTCTATCACTGCTGTCCCTTTGTCTATCACTGCTGTCCCCCTGTCTATCACTGCTGTCCCTCTATCAATGCTGTACTCCCTCTATCCCTGCTGTCCCTCTATCACTGCTGTAACTGTCTATCAATGCTCTCCTATCTATCACTGCTCTCCCTCTATCAATCACTGCTTTCCCTCTATCTATCATTGCTCTCCCTCTATCACTGCTGTCCCTCTATCTATCACTGCTCGCCCTCTATCTATCACTGCTGTCTATCTATCACTGATGTCCCTCTGTCTATCACTGCTCTCCTTCTATCTATTACTGCTCTCCCTCTATCACTGCTGTCCCTCTGTCTAACACCGCTCTCTATCTTTCACTGTTGTCCCTCTCTCACTGCTTTCCTTTTATCACTGCTTTCCCTCTATCTATCAGTGCTCTCCCTCTATCTATCAGTGCTCTCCCTCTATCACTACTGTCCCTCTATTTATCATTGTTATCCCTCTATCTGTCACAGCTCTCCCTTTATCTATCACTGCTTTCCCTATATCTATCACTGCTCTCTCTCTATTTATCACTGCTGTCCCTCTATCTATCACTGCTCTCCCTTTATCTATCACTGCTGTCCCTCTATCTATCATTGCTGTCCCTCTACCTGTCACTGCTTTCCTTCTCTCTATCACTGCTCTCCCTCTATCTATCACTGCTCTCTCTGTCTGTCTATCACTGCTCTCCCTCTGTCTATCACTGCTCTCCCTGTATCTATCACTGCCCTCCCTCTGTCTGTCACTCCTCTCCCTCTGTCTATCACTGCTCCTCCTCTATCACTGCTCTCCCTCAATCTATCACTGCTGTCTATCTATCACTGCTGTCTATCTATCACTGCTGTCTATCTATCACTGCTGTCTATCTATCACTGCTGTCTATCTATCACTGCACTTCCTCTATCACTGCTCTCCCTCTGTCTATTACTGGTCTCCCTGTGTCTATCACTGCTGTCTATCACTGCTGTCTATCTCTCACTGCTGTCTATCTGTTGGTTGGTCTACCATAATGTCACCTTCATAGACAATTACTCTACTCATCTACATTCATGAATACCTAAAATATTTTTGTAGTATCAGATATCCTGTGTGTGTGTGTGTGTGTGTGTGTTGTGTGTGTGTGTGTGTGTGTGTGTGTGTGTGTGTGTGTGTGTGTATTTACAAACATCCACGCTTGCGCATGCGCGTACAAACACCTACGTACCCTGAAGGTGCCGCTGGAACAGGAACTGACGCAAGTGTTTCCTTGGATGACGCAACGGCAGGAGACGCAAGCGGAGGCGTTGCCGGGGGCGTAGCACCCGCCCACACACTCTGGGTGGCAGCACTCCCCGCCCACACACCCGCCCACTGCCACCAGGGGGGGGAGAGATACATTATACTATTCTAGATAATCAAGGACTCTGATCCGAGGAGGAAGAGGTGGCTTCCGCTTCTTCGGATCAAAACTGATTTCCTATCATAGATACAGATATTTTTAGGAGACAACGAAGAAGATAGTGTACCTTTGGCACCTTTGTTATGTATCTCTGATACATGTGTAATGCACACCTGTATAGTGTACCTGTCACCTGTGTATTATACATCTGTCACTTCTGTAATGTATCTGTCACTTCTGTAATGTACCTCTTGTACCTGTGTATTGTACCTTTGACATCCGTATATTGTACCTCTGACATATATGTAATGTACCTCTGTCACCTCTGTAATGTACCTCTGTTACTTGTGTATAGTATGTCCGGCACCTGTGTATTGTACCTGCGGCACCTGTGTATTGTACCTCTGGCACCCTTGTAAAGCACTTATGACACCCACTTGTACCTCTGGAACCCTTGTAACGCTCTTATGACACCCAATTGTACCTCTGGAACCCTTGTAACGCTCTTATAACACCCACTTGTACCTCTGGAACCCTTGTAACGCTCTTATGACACCCACTTGTACCTCTGGAACCCTTGTAACGCTCTTATGACACCCAATTGTACCTTTGGAACCCTTGTAACGCACTTATGACACCCACTTGTACCTCTGGAACTCTTGTAACGCACTTATGACACCCACTTGTAACGCACTTGTGGCACTAAACTCAGTGATCACGAAAATGCAACCGGTCATTGAAATTTGCCGCGTTTGTTGATACAAATGAAGCCAGTAATAAGGTGAAATATATAGCTGTGAAGCCAGGGACGAGTGAGAGAGAGAGAGTGAGAGCAGGAGGAGGTAGAGGATCAGTAGTAGAAGGTAGAGGATCAGTAGTAGAAGGTAGAGGATCAGTAGTAGAAGGTAGAGGATCAGTAGTAGAAGGTAGAGGATCAGCAGTAGAAGGTAGAGGATCAGGAGGAGAATAAACACTACATCCTGTCGATGGCAGGAAGAAGGAAGATCTTACACTATGAAGAATTAAACACATATACAACATCTGGGTATCTTTATTTGTAGACGTTTCGCTCATCCAGTGGCTTTATCAATGCATGGACATTATATGAAGACTAAATTATATACAAATGATGAGGTAATGAGTCCCTCAGCCTGATAGTCGGTGAAGATCACCGTAGTGTTGAAGAGTCTGGAACACAAGCAGTAAGACTGTCGCTTATATACTGGCGTCAGGTGAGGGACGTGTAGCAGACGATGACACTGTCACTGGTAGATGAGATCTTCCAGTGGAAGTAGATCATACCTGAGGGATGGGCCGGTAGTAAGCAAGACGGTTGTGCAGATGTCCTCTGTACAAAGATTCTGTCATGTTGCAGTGTCTGACAAGTTGTTCCATCATGTTGCAGTGTCTGACAAGTTGTTCCATCATGTTGCAGTGTCTGACAAGTTGTTCCATCATGTTGCAGTGTCTGACAAGTTGTTCCATCATGTTGCAGTGTCTGACAAGTTGTTCCATCATGCTGCAGTGTCTGACAAGTTGTTCCATCATGTTGCAGTGTCTGACAAGTTGTTCCATCATGTTGCAGTGTCTGACAAGTTGTTCCATCATGCTGCAGTGTCTGACAAGTTGTTCCATCATGTTGCAGTGTCTGACAAGTTGTTCCATCATGCTGCAGTGTCTGACAAGTTGTTCCATCATGTTGCAGTGTCTGACAAGTTGTTCCATCATGTTGCAGTGTCTGACAAGTTGTTCCATCATGCTGCAGTGTCTGACAAGTTGTTCATCATGTTGCAGTGTCTGACAAGTTGTTCCATCATGTTGCAGTGTCTGACAAGTTGTTCATCATGCTGCAGTGTCTGACAAGTTGTTCCATCATGTTGCAGTGTCTGACAAGTTGTTCCATCATGCTGTAGTGTCTGACAAGTTGTTCCATCATGCTGCAGTGTCTGACAAGTTGTTCCATCATGCTGTAGTGTCTGACAAGTTGTTCCATCATGCTGCAGTGTCTGACAAGTTGTTCCATCATGTTGCAGTGTATTATACACCATTCATAAACCACTTGTTAGAACTACATCATGGAACAACTTGTCAGACACTACAGCATTATGTAACAACTTGTCAGACACTACAACATGATGGAACAACTTGTCAGACACTGCAACATGATGGAACAACTTGTCAGACACTGCAACATGATGGAACAACTTGTCCAACATGATGGAACAACTTGTCAGACACTGCAACATGATGGAACAACTTGTCAGACACTGCAACATGATGGAACAACTTGTCAGACACTGCAGCATGATGGAACAACTTGTCAGACACTGCAACATGATGGAACAACTTGTCAGACACTGCAGCATGATGGAACAACTTGTCAGACACTGCAGCATGATGGAACAACTTGTCAGACACTGCAGCATGATGGAACAACTTGTCAGACACTGCAACATGATGGAACAACTTGTCAGACACTGCAGCATGATGGAACAACTTGTCAGACACTGCAGCATGATGGAACAACTTGTCAGACACTGCAACATGATGGAACAACTTATCAGACACTGCAGCATGATGGAACAACTTGTCAGACACTGCAACATGACAGAATCTTTGTACAGAGGACATCTGCACAACCGTCTTGCTTACTACCGGCCCATCCCTCGGGTATGATCTACTTCCACTGGAAGATCTCATCTACCAGTAACAGTGTCATCGTCTGCTACACGTCCCTCACCTGACGCCAGTATATAAGCGACAGTCTTACTGCTTGTGTTCCAGACTCTTCAACACTACGGTGATCTTCACCGACTATCAGGCTGAGGGACTCATTACCTCATCATTTGTATATACTTCTATAGTCTTCATATAATGTCCTTGTATTGATAAAGCCACTGGATGAGCGAAACGTCTACAAAATACCCAGATGTTGCACACGTATCTAATTCTTCATCTTGTCGGTATTGTATACCATAAATATATATAATGCAGTTTCAACATGACCTGAACGTGTATACTTCCTCCACCGTAAGGTGTTGTGTAAGCTCGACCCTCCGTTCACTAAGAGCAAGCAACTCTGACGAGTCAAATAATGGCTTGTGGTAAATTAACCTGACTTGCTACAAGAACGTCTCAGATAATCCACACTGAGCTGGATAATCCTGCCTTCAAAATTCAGGATTTGCTGTGGCAGTAATGTATTTTATATTTAACGTGTGTGTGTGTACTCACCTAGTTGTACTCACCTAGTTGTACTCACCTAGTTGAGGTTGCGGGGGTCGATTCATAGCTCCTGGCCTCGCCTCTTCACTGGTCGCTACTAGGTCACTCTCCCTGAACCATGAGCTTTATCATACCTCTGCTTAAAGCTATGTATGGATCCTGCCTCCACTACATCGCTTCCCAAACTATTCCACTTACTGACTACTCTGTGGCTGAAGAAATACTTCCTAACATCCCTGTGATTCATCTGTGTCTTCAACTTCCAACTGTGTCCCCTTGTTACTGTGTCCCATCTCTGGAACATCCTGTCTTTGTCCACCTTGTCAATTCTTCTCAGTATTTTGTATGTCGTTATCATGTCCCCCCTATCTCTCCTGTCCTCCAGTGTCGTCAGGTTGATTTCCCTTAACCACTCCTCGTAGGACATACCTCTTAGCTCTGGGGCTAGTCTTGTTGCAAACCTTTGCACTTTCTCTAGTTTCTTTACGTGCTTGGCTAGGTGTGGGTTCCAAACTGGTGCCGCATACTCCAATATGGGCCTAACGTACACGGTGTACAGGGTCCTGAACGATTCCTTATTAAGATGTCGGAATGCTGTTCTGAGGTTTGCTAGGCGCCCATATGCTGCAGCAGTTATTTGGTTGATGCGCGCTTCAGGAGATGTGCCTGTGTTATACTCACCCCAAGATCTTTTTCCTTGAGTGAGGTTTGTAGTCTCTGGCCCCCTAGACTGTACTCCGTCTGCGGTCTTCTTTGCCCTTCCCCAATTTTCATGACTTTGCACTTGGTGGGGTTGAACTCCAGGAGCCAATTGCTGGACCAGGTCTGCAGCCTGTCCAGATCCCTTTGTAGTTCTGCCTGGTCTTCGATCGAATGAATTCTTCTCATCAACTTCACGTTATCTGCAAACAGGGACACTTCGGAGTCTATTCCTTCCGTCATGTCGTTCATAAATACCAGAAACAGCACTGGTCCTACGACTGACCCCTGTGGGACCCCGCTGGTCACAGGCGCCCACTCTGACACCTCGCCACGTACCATGACTCGCTGCTGTCTTCATGAAAAGTTTTCCCCTGATCCATTGTAGTGCCTTCCTGTTATCCCTGCTTGATCCTCCAGTTTTTTGCACTAATCTCTTGTGTGGAACTGTGTCAAACGCCTTCTTGCAGTCCAAGAAAATGCAATTCACCCACCCCTCTCTCTCTCTTGTCTTACTGCTGCACCATGTCATAGAACTCGAGTAGATTTGTGACACAGGATTTCCCGTCCCTAAAACCTTTTTGGCTGCTGTTGATGAGGGTCATTCCTTTCTGGGTGTTCCACCACCTTCTCCTGATAACTTTCCATGACTTTGCATACATACATGTCAGTGACACTGGTCGAGTTTAGTGCTCATGTCTGTCCCCTTTTTTAAAAGTTTGGGACTACATTTGCCTTTTTTTCCATGCCTCAGGCAATCTCCCTGTTTCGATAGATGTGTTGAATATTTTTGTTGGGAGTACACATAGCGCCTCTGCTCCCTCTCTCGGACCCAGGGAGAGATTTTTATCGGGCCCCCTTTGGGCCTTTGGGTATCTAGCTCACCCAAAACCTTTTCACTTCTTCCTCGTTGTGTGTACTGTGTCCACAAAAGGTGGTGTACCCCGCCTCTCCGTCTTTCGGGCCCCTTCTGTCTCCTCTGTGACATTTCTTTAATCTCTTGTTGATTTTCCCACATACTTCACATTATTTCTTGTTGTCCTCCCCT